ACAAGACCCAAAGCCATCAAGAGGCTAACTCTCTCTCTCTCTCTCTCTCCATTCATTCTTCCTCTCTAGTTCATCTCTTCTCCAGTTTATTGAGCACCTTCCAAAGCAAAGAAAAGATGGAGAAAGGATCAACATCAAGGAGGAAAACCATGGAGACTATAAGAACTTGAAGCTCAAACCCAAATTGTTCTTGCTAGGGATTGAGGTTGGACAAGCTCATCCCTTGCAAGAGGAGATTTCAAGGAGGTCAATGACGATTTTTGACGAGCCTAGCTAGCCCTCGGAACTCAACTCTACTTCTTCTCCACCTTTTGGGAAGTTGGATCCCAAGCTCCATCATCCTTGAATTAGAAACCAAGATTTAGCTAATTCATCACCTAGAACTCAATAAATAGTAATCATGTGACCAAGGCTAGTTTGATCCAACGTACCTTAGTAGATGTGTTCTATGAGACCTTAGAAATGCACCCGCAAAGCACCTTACATATGCATAAACTACACCAACATTTAGCACCCATGAAATCACTTAGAACACACTACTACAGAATGAGCTATCTCGCAACACCATTATCACTGTTGGCTATGTAATAACCGGTGGTGAAACAATTTCACTGCTGGTTGGATGGATGGTGGGGCATGGAGACCTATTGAAACAACGATTATCACCATCGGGTAACCATTGGATCCAGCGAGGATCTTTAGGTTTTGTTTTGTCGTAGGATTATATGCCAAGCCAGCTATGATAGGCTTTATGGCCGCGCGCAGGATTTGGAGCGGGCGGTTGTGAACATGGCAAGCACAATGATTACAAGTGAGAATTTTGGAACAAAATATATTTTATTCCAAATTTTGGGGCCATGTTTTTACACCAGATTTTGGAATGGTACACGGGAACCCAAGATTCAGGGAAGGCGCCTAAAAACCGTGTTGCACGCGGAATTGGGCCATGAACAGTTAGAGTCAAAACCGGCCCATGAGCGGATTGGAGTCAGAATTGGCTAAATGGCCCATGACATTAGCATCGGCTCGGGTGTGGGATGGTTGGTTTTGGTTAATTTTGGAGCTAAGGCGTGGTCGGCATCGGCTAGAGGATGGGCATGTCGGATTCTACTAGAAAGGGAAGCATAGAGTTCAATTTTATCTAAATTAGGAAGTGTTCTTTTATTCCAAGTTTTGTAATAGTCTTATTCAGCTAGGACTTGTGTTTAGGCCGAGGATATAAATATTAACCCTAGTATTGTAATGGACATCAATCACACAAAAATACAACTTTCGACTTTCACGCCAAAACCTTAGGGGTAGGAGTATTGTAGATATCAACGAGTTCTTCAGTGAGTAAGGCTGCATCGGTTTCGATCTCCATTTTGCTTGTAAGTACCGTCATGACTAATGTTTTATCTTGTTAGGCGGCATCATTTGATCTCTAGCGTGGTTTAATTCTAGTTAGTTATCGATTTGTATCTAATTAAGTAAGGCTGCATCTTTTGATCTCTTGCTTGGTTTGATATCAAATCACCAATTATCGATTTGCTATATTTGATATTTTACTAGATTTAGCAATATGGCCAATTTATCCGGTTAAGATTAAGATAAAGTGGCTTTTATTATATCAATTTGTCGTCTCGTTGCTATATCAAGATCAAAACTCTGTTTTGACGTCAAATTCTGCTTCATCGGCTGTTTTATCTTAATTTTGACCAAACATAGTGTATGCTCAAAGACTTGTTTTACTATAAATATAATCATTGGCTAGCAATCTTGGATCTATTGTTTGCTATCATCGCTGTATCGTATTGACCTTTTGATATTAGGCTTTAGGTTAGATTTTGTTAGATTATGGATCTGTTTATTAGGAAAACATGGCTCTGTGTACTCACCATGTCTGCATCGGCTATATAGCTGATGGCTTGTGCTTTTATGTTTATAGTATGTTTTCATGATTCTGTTGAGTTATAAGTAGATCTATCGACTTGTTAGCTTTAATCCGTTATCTTTGACAACGCTGCATCAATTTAAACTATTTGGTGGTGGCAATAGATTAGATCTAGTTTATTTATATTAAATAGTTAATTGCTTACATGTTATACTTTAATTTCTCTACATCGGCTCAACAGCCGATAACCTGTGCTATCATGTTTTACCTTATTCCTTGATCATCGTCTATCTAATATTCATTGTTTATACGTGCCAACAGCTGATGGCGCCTGTTTTCATTGGTTTACATCGTTAACTTGCTAGATATCGACTCTTTAGTCGATAGCCCTTCTTATTGGCTCTTTAGCCGTACATTAGAACTGTCTAAAGCAACACCGACACGTTTCACTTTAAATTACTAATCATTTCTCTACTTATCAATTACAGGCTCCGTTTACTGGTCTGAAACTTGGCTGAAAAACACTGTTCCGACTGGTTTGTTGTGAGAGAAAAACAATATTTGGCTGGTTTTATAAACAGTAAATTGAGAGGGGGATCAGCCGGCTGACTAGTCTGATAAGACCAGCGAACGGCCCTACAAGGTCAAATTGATTGGTATGCTTACGAACTCAAAACTGACTTGTCCTGCTTTGGAGTGAAGCAAATCTCACAGGCTTGTCATGTGTCATGCGTGGTGATCAGATTTCTGCATCTACACTATGTATGGACAATTAATTATGTTGAGATATTGTCATGAACAAGGTCAATTATAGTTTAATTTATTTTCTATGTCCTAAATAAGGTGATCTTGTGCTGAAACTTGAGAAATTGCAAAAAAGAAAAAATTGGCACGTAACGTACAACATCCATACAGAAGACGTAAAACAAAAAAAAACACCGCGTACACGTCCATGCAAATGACGTACAGGAAAAAAAAGAAACACCAAACGTCCAAGGGCATAAGTGGACAATAAAAAAAACAAAGTCTCTATTTCTGGATCTGGAGCTATCCTATCAGCCAAGCACATTTTCGCAGCTCCACGCTGAGAGAATAGATCCATGCTGGAGCTGCTCTGGTGGAGCTGGTGCTTCGGATCTGTTTTCTTAGAGCTGGAGTTATGCCAAACATGCTCATACTCTCTCCGTCCTAAAATAAGTGTACATCTCGTATTTTGAGAAATCAAATAATCTCATGTTTAACTAGATTTATAAAAAATAATATTAATATTTGTATATCTCAATAGGGTTAGTATGAAAATATATGATATGATTAATCTAATGATGATTATTTGATATTATCAATCTTAGTATTTTTCATATAGATTTGGTCTAAGCTTAAGTTAATTTGAATCCTCAAAGTGCGAAATGTGCACCTATTTTGGGATGGAGGGGTAGAACGTCACGAGAAGATATGAGAGGAAGGATGGATGGTGAATTTTTATTCTTGGTGGGGCTAGTATTATGGGCTACTCTGTGCTTGAACATTATGGAGATAAAACAATAACTAAGGTCCTGTTTGGTAGGGCTTCTTCATCGGTTTTAGGAGCCGTTTTGTGCCAGACGGAGTAAAATAAAACGGCTTTATCCATGAAACCCCTTAAATCGTACTCTCACAGAGGTTTGAGGTGGGATGGAGCAAAAAATAGACGCTTCACCTAGCTTCACCTCATTCTACAAGGCGTTCTATTAGAGCATGTTTTAAGAAACTCTATTTGTAGAACTGTTTTGCCAAACGATTTACGAAAACGGCTCCAGCTCCATTGATTGAGCTGTTCATGGAGCCAAAGCCCCAACAAACAGCTTCACTAGTGAAGTGGTGCTATACCAAACGGGGCCTAGACCTCACCTGCATAAGGCCCATGTATATGACTGCCTAGTCCATTTAGGTTGTTCATGCCTAAGAGCTTCTGGTCAGATGTATAGCTAAAGTTGCATCCTATTTTTGTTGTCCACCCCCTAACTAGCTTGCATCTAGCTATGATAAATGCATGTTTCGATTTAAATATGTATTGGATCGCACCTCTGCATCTCACATTTAACCCGAACTTATGACCAACACTCATACATGCATGCAACAACTTGCATCTAGTGATAATATGAAATCTGATTCCTATACATATTGGGTTCTGTTACCGCACAGATATGTCCGCAATGGTTCTGCTCGTCGGTCTCAAGCAACATGAGGTGTGTTTGGTTGTCCCTAGGGATGTATATCTTGTCTTGGAGGTGTAGTAGCAGTGAGCCAGTGACATGACAAGAAGATTATTTAGTTGCTAATAATATAAAAACGGGCGAATGTAATGATCTTGTACCGTCATGTGCAACATCCATGTGTGGCAGAGATCTGGCTGGTAGCATTACAGATTCAGCAACGGGTATGGGCCGTTTCAGGATCTACTATACTACTTATCATTGGCTGCTGGTGGGCACGTGATGATGGGCCTGATCTGCCTATGGCTTTCGTTTGCCTGCGTCTCTGCCTCCAATGCCCTGTTCGATTCCCTCCCGTCCCCTCTTCTCTACAGTACACTGTACAAGCCGGGCAATTTTCGCGCTCCGAAACAAACCAGATCTGACTCACACCCTCCTCTGCCGCCAAAGAGGCCGAAAACGCGCATTTGCCGCGCCTGCCCACTCAAAAACTCGGAACAAAAACACAAACTCAAGCACAACCATTGTAACAAAATAATGCTGGTGCATCAGGACTGCTACAGCATACAAGACCGCCAATACCAGGAAGGCTATCAGGTTTGAGTGACAGGCCCCACTAATCACGTGGGATGTCCGTCATTAGGCCAGTCAATCCTGGAGTAATTTTAGTTGACTGACTCGTACCAGTGGAGCACTAGGGAGGGAGATTCAGGATTCACATGGCATGCCACCCTACCTAGGAATCCTCACTCTCCCTGAGTAGCTCAAGCTCACTCAGGAGTATGCAGATCTGGCTGGTAGCATTCCAGATTCAGCATTGGGGCAATACTACTAATAAAATACCTAGCCTAGTGGGTAGAAGAACAATGCATTCCAGATTTGGAGCAGAGCAGGGCAACAATGGCGGCCGGGAGTGGTGGGATGGATCTAGCCATCTAGGGGCACTTGGGGCCTCCTTCCTTGGTCTTCCAGTTGTTGTAGCAGGGGCAGGCGCCCTTGTTGCCGTAGAAGCCCGGCGGCACGCAAAGGCACTTGGCGCAGCACTTGTTGCAGAAGGTGAGGCAGGCCTTCGCGTACTGCGTCTGCGAGCACCGCGACGCGCACTTGGGCGAGCACTCCCAGGGCTTCAGGTTGCCACCACCGCTGTTGCCACCGCCGCCGCCGCCGCCGCCGCCCTTCTTCCCCTGTTGCCGCGGACCTGCAGACTGAGGAGCAAATCGGCCGATTAGTCGGCAAGCTTTGTACGTACACGAATGCAGAATGCCTGGCTCTTGAGGTTGAGGAAAGATGAGGCTAGCGCAGCGATCTTACCACGGGGAAGGCGACGGCGGCGAGGAGCAGGAATGCGAGCACCAGGATGGAGACGACCTTGCTCGCCGCCATCGCTCGTCCTTGTTGGCCTCCTCCTGTGCCTGAGCCTGACCAAAGGCGAGGAGAACCTGTCGAAGGCGAGAGATATTTGGGAGGGAGGGGCGTCTGGTTCCGCCCCGCTGTGCTTATATCGCCGACGAGGCGAGGAGGAGAGCAAAGAGCGGCAGTGGACGGTGGTGGTGGACCTGGCGGTGGCACGGTAGGAGGGCGGGAGGTGAGGGCAGTTATGGAAGCGTACCGCCCGCGCGGCCAGGACAGGCCCGGCCCGGCATGTGCGGCGCCAGCGAGTGCGCAGGGAAAGGCTGCCGAGCCATGCCCCGTCACGCTCGCTGGCAGATCGGCTTTACTGACGCCCCTGCGTGCGTGGTTAGTGACTCGTGAGCCACCACCACCGCGGACGGGCTCCAGTCCATGACCCGTGTCGATCACCAATGCTCACCTTTCCTTTGCCTGCCTAACCAAAACCAGTCCTACGATTGCGCTGTGATTAGCGGCAGCAGGTGTGGATTAGGGTCGGAAACAAGAACGAACGAACCGATGAGGTACTACTGGTAGTACTGCATGCGGTTAGATTCTTTTCAGGATGCGGTCGTATATCCTAATCACCATTGTAGCTGCACTAGTTTACGGTGCTGCCAGGGGCACATGGCCTGATGGCCCGGTCCCGGGACCAGGACTATTTCTTTTTCTACTAGAGCCAGCCAGCAGCAGACTTGCAGTACCTAGGTCCCCATTCTCGGGCGGGAGAAGAAGGAAAAAAGTCGGCAGGCTATGTATCCGGTGTGCCACGGGGTGGTTGGATGTACGAGTGTTATATGGGTGTTTGGAACTCATAAAAAAATAAATTATAGAATTCGTCAGTAATCCACGAGATAAATTTATTAAGTCTAATTAATCCATTATTAGTATATGTTTACTGGAGCATCGTATTATTAAATCATAAACTAATTAGGCTTAATAAATTCGTCTCGCAAATTAACCTCAAACTATACATTTAGTTTTATAATTAGTCTATATTTAACACTTCGTCAAATATCCGATGGAACAATGACTTAGAAGGTGAAATCAAACGCTGTGGTACCGGTGCTTGTGAAACAGAAAGTAGCAGCGCACATGCTCAAGATCCCACCCGGAGTGCAGAGCGCCGCCGCCGGTGGGTGCAAATTGCAATGCAACAACTAGCTCAAGTCGTTTAGCGGGACGGGATAGTACTAGTAGTAGTAGTATCAAACCAAGGGCCAAGAAGGTTTGGCCCAAGAGACTTGGGGAAATTCAAATTAGGCCACTACACCACTACTATATCGTCATTGCTGTCTCTCAAGTTTGGAGCAAAGCTCTGAAATTGTGCTCGACTTGCAAGCAACAATAGTGTCTCAGCGTCACAGGTCTCATCGATGTTGTTTCAGTAATTTAACATGGCTAGAAGAGTAGAATTGACAAAACTGTGAACCAAAACATGCTGCGCCAGCGCGCCATGCTAGTCCGTTTCGCCGGAGGCCGGAGCCCAACTGCGGACTGCCCGAAGCAGACCGCGCCGATTTTCGGGAGGCACTTGCTCCAAAGGGAAAACGTAGCGACTCTGGCAAGTGGCCCGGCCATCCTGCCTCTCCATCTGAGAGCGGTCGCCTCGCCGCTGAGTCCTGACCGCACGGCGTCGTCGTCCATGGTAAGCCTGCAAAAAAAAAAAAAAAAAAAAACCGAGGACTGAGAATCGAACCGAACTCATCAAAACCGAAGTAACCGAAATCGAAATATTCGGTCTCAGGTTCGGTTCCAGGTTCCCAGGAACCGAAATTATTACGGTTAATTTGGTTCCAGCACTCGGTTAACCGAATTGACCTGAAATAACCGAACTAAGCTGTTCGACCTCTTGTTTTTTTTTACTGCAGGCTTGAATATTGCTCTATGCTTGAATATTTGAGAGAACAATAACATATATGTGTTGTACTGTTGTTTTATGCTGCATTGCTATTTAAATTGTCCCTTTTGACTGCATGAAAATCAGGTAAAATGCTGCCAAAATTTGCAATTGAATGAATTGTTTCTTGGTTCATGAAAAAGTCGGTTCCATTGGTTGGAACCAAAACCGAACTGAATTAACTAAAACCGAAATTCCTCGGTTCCGCATTTTCAAAGTAACCGATCAGTCCTTTCTTCTCAGGTAACCGAATTAGCTGAAGAACCAAATCGATCGGTTTCGGTTAACCGAACGCCCAAACTCCATGGTGCTGGCGAGACCCGGCCTGGAACGCCGTGGTGCTTGTAGCCTGGCTGCGGGCCGCTAGCAGTGGCAATGTACCATCATGATGGAGCTTATTTCACCGAACATGCTTTATTACAAATAGAAAGTAACTGTAACGTATTATTCCGGTGTAATGTGTGATGATTTTTTTGAAAAATAATATTATTTCATTAATTAATTACAGATATAGAAGCCATAGTAATAAAATTACAAATTTAGGTGACAATCGACTGGGAGGCGAGTCCAATCGGTGTCAGGGACCATAGGTACTTTCTCTGTCCTCAAATAAATTAATTCATAGAATCCATGTCAGAGTGACTAACTATAGAAAAGAGTAAAAACATATGACATAAAATGAACGTGTTACGAAAATATATTTTATGGTAAATCTAATGATACTAATTTGATACCATAAATTTAATATTTTCTTTAGAAATTTGATTAAAGTTTATAAAGTTTGACTTAAGACAACTCTAAAAATCAATTTATTCAAAGACAGTGGGAGTACATACGTATCAGCGTGGATTGCCGACACAGGATCACCACATGGTACAGGCATCGACCATGTCGGTGTGATCATTGCCCATAGGGCAATCGGCATTTTAGGGCAAGCCGATCGTGCAGCAGAAGGCATCAGCACAGCATGAGCGTACTCCCTCCGTGCCAAATTAAATGACGTTATAGGACTCAACACGTCTACCAAGAACAAAGAGAGAAGACTAAAATACCTCTATCATCACTTTGTTCTCTCTCCTACGCCTCTCCTTTCTCCATCTAGATCCATTGAGGTACTCCTCTAGCTGTGGTCGCCGGTGCGCTTGCCGTGGCCTCATCGACCTGGGTGAGCGTGCCTCCCCCTCGCCGGCGCATGGGCCACGCCCGCGGCCTCATCGTCCTAGGTGAGGGCGTCTCCGCCTCACTGGCACCTAGCCCGCACCCGTAGCCTGGTCGACCTAGGCACGAGGCCGCTCTCGCTTCCTTTTCAACCTGGGTGAGCATGCCTCCCCCTCGTCGGTGCAGGCGTGGCCTCGTCGATCTAGTAAAAGGTCCTAATGGCTAGAGGAGGATGAATAGCCTATTAAAAATCTACAACAACACTAAGCTAAGTGGTTAGATAAATATGAGGCGAAGCGAATATTACGCTAGCCTATTAAAAATACAAGCCACCAACCAACAATTCTAGTCAATTATGATCACTAAGCACTCAAGGGCTATGTCACTACTTTCTACACTAGTTGAGCTAGCTAGAAACTAATTATAACTAAGAAGCTAAGCTACACAACCAGTAACAACTACCACAAGCTCTACACAAGGTAAGGACACAAAAGTAAAACAAGAGAGTGGTAGAGAAGATATACCGTCGTGGCAAGTGATCAATCAATGAATATAAAAGAATACCAATAAGACAATGATGACACAATCAAATTTTCCTCCGAGGTTCACTTGCTTGCCGGCAAGCTAGTCCCCGTTGTGGCATCACACGCCTAACCCACAACCGGGTGCCGCACAACCAACATAAGATGAGGATCCACAAGCCACGCGCAATCCACTAGAGTTGCCTTTGGCGCTCCATCGGGGAAAGCACAAGAACCCCTCACAATCACAATGATCAGAGTCGGAGACAATCACCTTCCTCCGCTCGACAATCCACCAATCATTGGGTCATCTAGATGTCAGCAAACACCAAGAGTAACAAGATCTCCACCAGCCCAAGTCACCCAACTAGTGCAATAAGATGTTAGAACACTAAGCAATGCACTAAAGGCTCTCCAATCTCATTCAAGATGATGAAATCAAGTGTGCAAGTGAGTGGAGTGGTGTAGCTTGCTCATAATATGAAATCTCAGCACTTTAGGGTTCTAAGAGAGTGGCCATGGCCGGCCGAGGGGGCTATTTATCAGCCCCACCATGAAATAGAGCCGTTACCCCTTGGAGCTGGTTTCTGCGAGGGCACCGGACACGGCGGTGCCTGGCACCGGACATGGCGGTGCCCCTCCCAACGGTCACTTTCCAACGGGTAGAAACTAGCTGTTGGGGCACCGGATAGGATGCGGTGGCACTGCCTTAGGGGTGGCGGTGACCACCCGACCAGCCCCCCTGAAAACACCAGTCTTTGGAAAAATACAGCGGTGACCAACCCCATATCCCCCAATCTTGGGATAAAAGTGGCGGTGGCACCGCCCTACCAACAGCGGTGACCAGGCAGTGCACTGTGGCAGAACCTCCTAAGGAATCAGGCCCACATGCACCCATCGATGTCTCCACAGACCTCGGATAGCGTACACGAGTTCCCAACGACTTAACAGGTCTGTCGGGTGTCCTCGGGAAACCCGAATCATCCACGTTTCAAATAGGATCCCAATCACAGTCATTGCAGATTATACCATTTTTCAATATACATACCAGAGATAATAAAGCGGAAGACTTAAGTTTAATATTACAAACCAGTTGTCTCAAACTTATATAACCATAAGTGTCATACAACCATAGTAGCGGGTTAATATTACATTAACATTATTTATTTCACACAAACTAGTGCCTTGTCCAAAGGCCATTCATCATTCCTCATCGTCATCGACTTCATACACTGACATGCAGCAGGGACCAAAATAAGCCTGCGCATGCGACTCACCTGCAACAAGGGTTAACAAACCCTGAGTACAAAAGTACTCAACAAGACTGACCCGACGAAAAAGGGATGAAGGACTTTAGAGATGCAGGTGTTAGGACAAGGTAAGGATGTAGCAAGATTCAAAAGTTCTTTGCCAAA